ATTCCAGTGCAACGATAGGGGTAATTGCTTATGAATTTTTTCTGGGCCCACTCATTGGCGTTACTGCTGGATTTAGCAAGGTTATTCCAGATCAGAAATTATATGTACTCAAGTTGAGCACGACATATCGCGGGGTAATATTTTTAGAAGGCTGTAGGAGAACCGAATTCATCAGAGATATTCTGCCAACAGGGAGAAAACGAAGGCCTAGTATGGCAGCACATTTAATGCAAGTACAAGAAAATCAGCATGCTATCACAACGAACACTAAGATCCCTGATCTCATAAACCTTACATAATGACACAGTATTGACAACGTATGGAATTGAAATGTTTGACGTTTTGCGAAACACAACAACCACAACAGCAGCAACAACAACAACAACAACAATAATAATAATAATAATAGTAGTAATAATAATCCCCTCATATGATTCTGACATGGCCGCAAATGTTTGGCCAAATTGAAGGAAATGCTACTGTCCGGGTGCCCGTGAAACTCTGTACGCGAGTTTGTAATTGCGCAGTGTGGTGGGTATGTACCGGCATACATATTTTATAGGTAAATGCACCCCAGTGTTGGTAGGATGGCTAGAATGGGGAGGTGTGATTGATGAGCGCGGCGCTTTTGCTTGCCGGAGAAGGCCCTTCGGCGCGCCGATGCCGCTAGGGGCGCTGATGGCAGCGGCGTGGGTAGTGGGCGGCACACTTCGCAGAGTTTTCCTCGGGTGCGCTGCTTTTTTTTTTTTTTCAGAGGCAGTAGCTGCTTTACAAGTACTTCGTCAATCGGTGATTGCACTGGGTTACTCTAAAATGCCTGAAGGCGTCAACGACAAAAAAAAGTAGATCCACCGTCGCTGCATTACGCTTGTCCGCAAAACTTTATGCTTCAATTCAGCCTCTTGAAGAGTGCCAAGGGTGGCAACGTAGATCATTTAGTGGAAGAGCCCCTCTGTCTGTAGAAAAAATGCTGTATGAGATTGAATAAAGTAAGGAAGACTACGAAAGACTTCCATCTGATGCACTAGCAGTGTCTGTCGCCCATGAATCGTGCACCGCTGAGCGGTGGACGGTCGCCCTGTATAATATGTGGCAAGCTACGATGTTAGAAACCTGGTACTTCGTAATAATCGTGATGAGTGCAAAAACGCCCGCCTTGTTTCGCACTGTTGGTGGTTACGCGTTAAAAGTAACACCGTTGCTGGTGTAGCACGTTACTTTGGCAATTAGTATTTGATGCACTTGTTATACATGTAGAAATTGAGCTGCTGCTCAAATTGTGCCAGTTGTAGTAGTCAGCAAGTCGTTCCTGCAACACGGTAGTGCTATTTATCAGTTATGTTTGCAAAATAAAATTTGCTTCTGCTGATAGTACAGGTCGCGGAGCACTAAGTTTGCAGTACCTGGAAAAGCAAGACTCACGCTTCCATAAACAGTTGCAATTCTAGCAGGCCCTGTGTAGGTTAAAGGGGCAAAAATTATTTACACTGCAAATATTTTACACTGCAAATACCTGCAATAATGGTCCGCTAGCAGATGCAAGCTGCCAGAATTACTGTATTCTTTAGGTCAGTGATTATAACTTTGCGGTGAGGGTTGACGGTGAAATAATATTTCGGCTTTCTGTAACAATGAGAAATGGATTTAACATGCGCCACGTTGTTAGAGGCCATCACATGCAACTCTCTGGTGCACATTAGGCCATTGTGTTCTACGTCTGGCATTTCATGCAAAATTCGCTAGTTTAGTTCACCTGAATTAGCTATATTGTTTTGATCAGAGACTTTATTTCTTTTATTTCAATAGGTCGAGGAGCACGGGACTAAAAGCTCGAGGGATGAACAAAGTACCGATCCACCCACAAGTTGGCAAAGCTGCAATACCCGACACCCATTCATACCTGTAGAATAAAAAAGAGACTTTACAAGTATAAAATGCCACCAAGTACGAATACAAAAGTTATGAAACAAAGCTCCACAAATAGATAGCGAGGGAATACATATGCATCATAACTTGGCATGAACATTAAAAGCAAAAATTAATAATTAGAGTGATCAAAATGACGGGAAATCTACTATTCGAGAAAGTGAATTAGCTCGGCGAAGCATCTATTGTGACAATTTTGAATATTTAAAATTACATATATCTACAGCGCTATAGTTGGGAAATAATCGTAAGAAATAATTACACATAATATTTTAATGAAGTTTCCGAAATCAACAGGATCAAAACTACACTGATACACAGACACATCACAGTAAAAGATACAATACAGTAATAAGAATTATTAAAAAAATGCGCAAGACAGCCAATCGTAGCAGCGTTTCGAGCAATATTCAAATAGATTCATAGGAAGTTCTCAATGGCAGAAGAAAGGACAAAGTATCGATGTCTTCGTGGTTTAAGGTGGTCAATGGGTAAGGCAGCTTGTAGGAATATGTTCGTCCTAAACGCTTCTAGGAACAGGTAAAATCCACATTTAATTTTTCGTGCCTAGTGAGACAAACACTTGGGTTTACGTTTATCTTAGCAAGATAAATTATGGTATTACAACCACGATTAACAAATGCTTTAACATGTCAAATATATATACGAGGCGCGGGCACATTGATTCAAACTTCTGATCTTGGAGTATAATCGATAAAAAAACCCAGGCGGTCAAAATTTCTGGAGCCCTCCACTACGGCGTTTCCATAATCATATGGTGGTTTGAGGACGTTAAACTAAACATATCAAGGCCTTTCCAAGAATGGTTTTGAGAGATGAGACTTTAAAGAGCTTAGTGACATGTACTGCACTACACTTGCTCGATCAAAATGATTTTACTGAAAACGGGTCACCACCACACAGCGTGGGAGCAATTTTTGTGGAGAGCGGTGCGTGCTGTCTGATTTGTCTCCTCTGCAATGTTACCCGCGCCGATGCATGCAGTGCCCCAGGCGGCATCGGCGCGCTTTGGGGACCGGTTTTGGCAGCCGCTTTTCACACTTCCCCATTCTAGCCACCTTGATGTTGGTGTTGAAAGGATATGTTCGCAAGCAGTAATAATTATTACGCGCCTGCAGACCAAGGAGCTGTTTACATAATGTAGAGTTTGGCTAAGCATCATGCCAGCCCGCAAAAATGTGTCATAGTGCATGTACTCGCAACGCAATGCTTAAGCTAATCCTGATGATGGCACGTGCGCATTAGTGATCTCGACCAAGTAGGGACACACCCACACAAAATAGAAGTTTTGTGGATTCGGTAGCCTGCGGTAAATGTTGTTTAAAGCTTCAGCGTTTCAATACATGGTGCATTAAATGTGTAACACGTGTGAGTCAGTTGCACCTTTCTTACCATATTTGTATATGACGTGAGAATTATTTGACGCTTGCAAACATTACACCAAAATAAATATTTACTAGTGCAATCATAAAATTTCCGATAATTTTACTATGTGCACAGCCAAGAACATCACACGTAGCCAAAGGAAACGCAAGATGTATTTTTGCAATAAATTATTACAACTTTCATGTTGAATTTATTCATAATAATGCCTGCAAGTTGCATTCACATTAGTTTTTTGTTTGTTTTTGAAGATACTTCCTTAAATATTGCACTGCGCATGCAATTATGGTAAATGGCCGCTGAAAGCAATCGCAGATGGGGGGGGGGGGGGTCAACAGGAATAACTGAAATATTCTTATATGAAGGAAGCATATAGCCATCAAAACCTTCAAATAATCAGCAATTTTGTCTACCGATGAGGAATCTAAAACTGCATTGATATTACTATTTCTTGCTGCCACTCCAAAGAATGCATTATTGTGAACAATATAAATTGCATGCATTTCGTTTTTACATAATACTATATAAGATTGCTCTATAATAATAGCAAGGTTAGTGAGCTTCAGTACGTTTTGTGACCTGACACAATTCCTTCCTTGTAAAGCATGTCTGCTCTCGTATATATTATTTACTTCGTAATATTTGCAACTTATTGCTTCAAACCTAAATTCTTCGGAAACTTTACAAGTTAAATTACACGAATGCATGCATATAGTTGCAACTATCACGTACACAAAGCTGACCTGAAATTGAAGTTTTTTTGCATGGCAGAAACAATATATATAATTAATACTGTCGTTGTAGAAAATAAGCAGGTCAACTTCGTGTACAAATTGTTATATATTACAACCCACGTAAATGTGTGTGATCAAGGTGCTAAATATATACGTGGTTCATCTCATATAAGGGAGCACTTCCACATATAAGAATCCACTTCATATGTTATATATGGTGTGGCTGTGCCTTATAGGACTGGATTTGACTCCTTATATGGGCCAACTGCGTCATATATTGCTGTATATAACTCCATACATGAACTGACCCCGCCAGATGTACATCCATATATTGCAAATTGAAGACACATAAGCTGACCTATATGATTATATGTGGCCACATATAACCAATATAAGTGCCATTAATGGCATTTTCGTAAAGGTAGAGCCAAGGGTGAGGTATAAGCACAATTGAATATTGTCATCATGCTCGACACAGCAGACGAATTGGCGCATGCTTTTGGCGGGGCCGAGATGGTTGTTTTATGGGCAGCAATAGTGAACTTTCAGAAGCACCACCACTAGGTCGGGAAAGTTGCAAATTCGGAGGCCAGAGACATACAGGGAAGCCGAGAAATGGTTTCTTCACTGCTGAACAAGGTCCATCGTCGCCTAGCCCTGCATACCTGCAATGCATCGTCGAGGATTTCCCTCCGTTCCACCGTAGATTGGTCCTGACAACGTTAAGTCAGCTAAGGCCATTTGTGTTGTTTAATATTGATTGTGAGAAGTATTTTTGCTTTAGCGTTAACGAGTAAAGTGTTTAGTGGTTTGATTTTAAAACCACCAATGGCGTTAATGATTACAAGAAATTGCTTATATGTAATTCTCTGCGTGAAAGCGTGAAAAGACTGTAACAGTCCCTAAAGACATTGAGAGCATGCGTGTGCGTCTTACCGGTATCATACATGCCGGAGGAGCTTCAACGGGACGTAGCTTAGGCAGGCAGATCGACTTCGTCCTTGACTTGTGTCCGGCTTGGGCAGCCCCGGAGAAAGAGAGCATGCGCGATAGACTCCTTCGCATCTTCGAAGGGCGACGCCTGGGTGCTATGCTCTGGCCTGACAGCAGGGTGTCTTCGTCGGGAGTCGTGTCCTGCTTGGTTTGTCCAGAACAGTGTAACGCACAGGTAAAGGAGAGTACGCCAGCGTATTAAAATGAAATCTTGCGCAGCCACGTGTAGCGTACAAAGTAAAGCGCAAGGAATATTTTGTCGTGAGAGAACTTTGTAACAAACTAGTAAATCTATTAAGCTGCTGTGTAGGAATGACTTAACAATTACTATTTCAACACGGGCGAGGAGTGGCAGTAATTTTATGATGAAGTACGGTTAACGCTCATTCTTATAATAAATATTGGCTACTTATTCGCGATAAGTAATATTTCACATGCACAACTTTACAGCCATGCTATCGCGACATGACCCACCCCTCCTTGGCCCCTGGCTACACTCAACATTCCCACACGCCCTTCAGAGCGTGCATGACACCATGGACGTTGTCCAAATCAGGCGCAGAAATTGGCGAGCGAGTGCTGTTTATTCGCTTCACCGTGTTTGTTACAAAATACAGGCGGGCGGAAAGGAAATAACTTCATTCAAGGGGTGGGAGCCGATGACAGCGTCATCCAAGGTGCGTAGCGCTGCTGGCCAAAATGCCGTAAACCTGAGCTGGCAGATTGATGCTGTCTACCAGACGTCGAGGATATTCAATGCCTAATAATGGTAACTGTGCTTTATGTCCCAAGGACACGGAAAGATTGAGACAAGCCGTAATGAAAGGCTCCAGAGAATTTGATTATCTGGTATACTTTAACGGGAACTTACATCATGCAGTACACGGGCCTATTTTGCCTCCATCAAAATACGATTGCCGCAGCCAGGATCGCACCCGTGACCTTCGGGTCGCAAGTCTAGCACTGATATTCAAGGCTTAAGCATCTATGTTTGACATCTCACTGTTCGACTTGATCAAGACCTTTTAGCAGCACTAGGTTAACGAGTCGAAGACTTGATGATATGAGAGGCTGTAAAATGCCTGCTAGTTGTAAGTAATCGAGAGTATATGTAAGCAATAAATGGCCACCTGAAGCCGAGCAACTTAGAGATGATAGCAGCCAAAATCCTAGGTGCCACGCTGCCTGCTGCGCCGCGTAGAGCCGTAAGCAGCCTGCAGCCACTCTCAGAGGCGGCTGCTAACCACGCAGCGATACTGTAGGCTCCATGATGATCTCTGGGTGCACGCTTCCATACAGGACACATGCGTGGCTCTAGCGCTTAGAAGATAAATAACTGCCTTTAGAACGTAGCTATTAAAAATTGCAAACCCGCTTCAACGTACTACAGTTTTTTCGTGACAATACTTTGAAAGTAATTATTTTTTATTTGGTTTGGGTCTTTACTAGATTTAACAATGCAGTCGTGTACGGGCCCGAAGTGTTAGCGTAAGGATGCAGCAGTTTCGCTTTCGCCTGGTTGCATGGATGATCTCGTTTTGTACTAGCAGTGGTTCCCGCATAAAAGCACTGGCTGTAGGCTCAAGGGTAAAGTAGGCGGCTGACAACCGGATCTAAAAGCATGAAATGATCAAAAAAGCTACACCGCACCCTTGCTATTGGTGCACGCACTTCAATAATTTAGCCTGACACTTCATTTTAGGTTCATCCAAACTGTCATAGCGAGAGACACACTAGCCGTATTCTCGCTTTTTCGCTGTGGTCGGTGGCCCCACCATGAGCCGAGGCGTTGGCCAGTGACCAGCGCAGCTTGAAGCCCCGCTTGTCGTGCCATATGACGTGACATCAGAGAAGCATCGCAGCAACACCGCATCGCAGCTACAAAAGAGGAGCCGGCGTTGCATCGAATATACAGAGAGGGCTGCGCGGTGGGATTATTCGGAAGAGCACTAATGTCTGATGAACAGACTGGAAAAAATAGGCTTTGTCGTCAGAACGAAACATAGAGAAGGCAGCGAGCCGACGAGGCTCACATGTCACATGTCACATCACAAGTCACATGTCTCGAGAAGCATAACCCTACGCAAAACCAAGCTAAACATGAGTATTAACCAAACCTCTCATTACGCCTACCCGAACATAACTGAGTTAAGCCCCAGCAAGTTGTTTACTCAGAGGTAAAAGTTTTCTTTGTAGTTAATGCGTGCTCAAGATGGCATGCACGAGTTTTTATAATATGCAGCCTGTTGTGGTGTAATATTACCATGATGCATTCAACCTCTGCTTTTAGGCATCTACGCTGTATTTGAGACTAGATAAAGGCGTTCTACCGCTGCAAAGGTGTCACCAATCTGCTATAATCTTCAAGAAATCGGTCATGAGGCAGAGAATACTGCGACTTAATTCTAACAAAATACTGACATTTTTGTACACGTTCACATGACTAACAAACACACGTATTATAGTGATGTATATTTTTTCCAGGTGAACTACTGGCATGATATTTACCTGCCTTCGTTACTGGGCGCATACTGTAATAACTGGTTAATCTGTTTTTTTTAATGTTTAGCTGCATTCCGGGTGTTTCGTTCAAGAATTTTTATGTTTTTCCTCCTCAGTTTTATCAAGATGCTAGTGGCAAGGTAGCACATTGTATACTATAGCCATCGCTATAATTTACAGTATAGTTGCACACTATATTGAATGATCTAATCGCGATGCATCCAAGCTAACCAAGTCAGTGTTGCATGAAAGCTAACATCTGTGTAGATTATCTGTCTATGCCAGTTCAAAGTAATCGTGACGGTTTTTTGCAAAGGTTTAGTGAAAATTTGTTTCAAATAAAATGTTATGAAATCGTGGAACTGCTTTGAAAGTTGTTGTTGTTTTGATATTAGAATATTATTTCATTCATATTCTCTTGGGTTCCATTATTGACTGTTCGCACACCCCTTCGTTTGTCCAATAATTACTCGCAGTTACTTGCCCGCTTGTCCTTGCTTCGTGAATTATCTGGTAGTGCATTGCTCGAATGCTATGTTGCGCTGTCACCTCGCAACATCCTGTTTGCTGAATATAATTCAAGGTGCGTAAGACACATTGTAGACAACACCCTCCTGTCAGTTAATCTACTGTGATTAACCTCCTGGTCAGTCGAAGAGTTTTTCCGCGGCGGTGAGTCAGTGGTTACGATGCTCACCTGCTAACGTGAAGCTCGAAGAATCGTTAAAGGCAGCAACGGTTTCATTTCTGTAGAGGTGAAACGCAGAGGCGTGCATATGCTGGGCGATGTCATGTCAGATTGAAAAACACCATATGGTGAAAACTGCTAAATTCCTGAACTACGGCGTCCCTCATAATTATACGGTGGTCTTGGGATGTAAACCCCAGACATTATTAGTAGTACAAAAGCCCTGGCATTATTACTGTCTAATAGCCAGCATGACTACTTAGAAAAGTCGATGCAATGTGGGTTGCGAGATATACTGGATGGCTGAGACAAACCTAGAGGGAGGCTCTAAGATGATAAAGGCGACACTATGATGGCGCCTTACTTTTTTCAGAAAACGCGTAGTCACCAAGAAAAAATAGACACCCGTACTGGTTACCAGAAACGTTGGCAAGCGGCGAGGCATATTTTGACTAAATGTGAAGATGCTCACTCGTGTTGTACGATACTTGTCATTGACCGATATGAATTATTGCTTTCTAGGGACAACGCAGAAAAAGCCCGAAACAGAGCTAAGTAAACGGCGAATGGCAGATTACAGAAAACTGAAAGCCAAATGACATGCACACCATGGTTATTCTGCCGCAAAATGTCGAAAGCTTATATGTGAATGTGTATATTTTTTTACAGACACATATTGCATTAGTATATCAAGCAGGAATTTACTGTATATAGAGTACAATGAATGACAGGTCACCATGACCCTCTAAAGAGGACTCTTATAGCGACCATCCATTATTCTGTTGCTTTAGGCAAAAAAAGAACTAAATCATCAGCTACACCGTATGCCTACTTTGTTAAATAGATTTCTTTTTCAGCGTAATACAGACTAGGCCAAAGAATGACTAACAAAGAGACACTACAGGTTTATGTGCATAAAGAAACACAGGTGAGCGCTGACGTGTACACAGCCTTGCAACGTGCAAGTCTGTATTGCAATTACACCACGCCCCGCCCCTGCAGCTACAACGTTGTAAGCTCAGATGTGGTAAACAATTTGACTCATTATAATTAACATTAAGCTACTTACAACATAAGCCATATCACTGGCTAAGCAAATCTACATGCTGCAGAGCTAAGACTTTCTGTTCTTTTGGCAACAAAATGTTAAAACATTGTTCGTCAGTATTTTGCTAACGAGCGCTTCACACTGGCAGATTAGTAGAGCACAAAAAGTTCTTGCAGCTTTATGTACTCAATATATACGCTATGAGTTCGAACAGTATCGCTAATTGCGGTGTTCCTGCTCTTTCTTCTCCTGTACACTGATCTCAATATCCTAAACTGTCATTGTTTACGGACAACGTAAGACAACACAGCAATATTTTCACCATCGTGCAAAGAGTTTTAATGGACGGTCGTCAAACCAGATGGTGAGCCCCTAAGGCGTGGGTCATGCATTTTCTGTATGAAGTGGCCACCTCTCGTTTTAGTTCTTGGAATGTCCGCTGGGTGGAGGTACTTGTATACAATGAATTGTGTATGATGTAAGATCGTTCTGGGGGTTTAATAAGTATAAAGTGCTTCGAGATCTGTGGAACGGCATAAGGGTTACAGGGCTTACATTCGGGAACTCGGTAGTGTGCACGAAGTCAGAGGTGGAATCTGGAATGGATATAAATCAAAGGGCTGAAGTAAGTCTTGCGTTTGGCACTCACAGGAAGACGACAAACGAAGCTGTAAAGAGGAATATTGGATAGACAGGCTTTGAAGTAAGAGAAGCTGAGATCTAATTGAGATTTAAGAGAGGTTTAGAAGAATGAAGAAGAGTAGAGAAGCTGAGGAGGTCTCCAGATATTTGTATAGGAAGAGCGTTGGAAGTGTGAGCGACAAGGCAACAAAAAGCATTTAGCGAGAAGTCAGAGAGGCGGAGAGGATTCATGGGATCAGAGCATTGGAAAAGAAGCCGGCT